TACCAACTTGATGGCACCTGACAACAACAACATCATTGATGGACTCAAGTGTGGCAGCGGTAGTGAGGTTGGCCCAGGATTGGACATTGTTTCATTCTGCTGTGCATGGGGTTGCTATGAGTCGGTTCCGGCTCTATGGCACCTGACAACAATAACAACAACAACAACAAAGGCTGCATACAGGGCTGTGTTCCTCATCCCCTGCCTCTCCATCATTCTTCCTCTCCCCATCATTGGCTTCATACCTAGTAGGAACCCCCCATCCCTTCCTCCTGAGATTCTTCCAACTCCCTAGTTGTCCACCTACTTCCAACTTCACACCCTATCTCTTTGGAACTCCCAGGTTTCCTGGCCCCACCTCTCTTGTCCCCTTTACTCACCCAACAGATAGAACCACTGAGTCACTCTCCTTGCACAAAAGACAGCATATGTTATGATGGGTTTCTAGAAAATAAAAGGTTTTGACATTCACTATAATGTGGCATCGGGATTGGAGGAAGACTCATTAACAAACCTGCCATATGCAGATGATACAACCTTGCATGTTGAAAGTGAAGAGGACTTAAAATACTTACTGATGAAGATCAAAGAGCACAGCCTTAGGTATGGATTGCATCTCAATGTAAAGAAAACAAAATTCCTCACCACTGGACCAATAAATAACATTCTAATCAATGGAGAGTCCTGATGTGGCTCTGTGGGCTAATGTGTCAGACTGCAAAGTCGCTTGAACTGCAAGGTTGGTGGTTCAAGCTCACCAGCCACTTCTTGGAAACCCTATACAGGGTCCCTATGGGTCGGAATTGACTCAACAGCACTTAACAACAATAACAATCAATGGAGAAAAGATTGAAGTTGTCAAGGAGTTCATTCTTCTTGGATCAACTATCAACACTCTTGGAAGCAGTAGTCAAGAAATCAAATGACATATTGCATTGGACAAATCTGCTGCACAAGACCTTTTTAAAGTGTTGAAGAGCAAAGATGTCAGCTTGAGAACTAAGGTGCACCTGACCCAAGCCATGGTATTTTCAATAACCACATATGCATGTGAAAGCTGGACAGTAAATAAGGAAGATCAGAGAAGAATTGATGCCTTTGAGTTATGGTGTTGGAGGAGAATATTGAAAGTGCCATGGGCTGACAAAAGAACCACAGATCTGTGTTGGAAGAAGTGCAGCCAGAGTGCTCCTTGGAAGCCAGGATGACCAAACTTCATGTCTCATACTTTGGACATATTGTCAAGAGGGACCAGTCGCTAGAGCAGGATATCATGTTTGGTAAGGTGGAGGGTCAGAGAAAAAAAGAGGAAGACCCCCAGCGAGATGGATTGGTAAAGTGGCAGCATCAATGGGCTCAAGCATGGCAACAATTGTGAGGTTGGCTCAGGATCGAGCAGTGTTTTGTTCTGTTGTTCATAGGGTCTCTATGAGTTGGTACCAACTCGATGGCACTTAACAACAACAGTAATAGTAGAGTCCTAGTGTGGTATCAGACTGCTAACTACAAGGTTGGGGGTTCAAACCCACCATTCACTTTATGGAAACCCTACACAGGGTTGCTATGAGTCAGAACCAACTCAATGGCACTTAACCATAATAACAACAAAATGGGAGCAGGACCGGGTGGGGTTTTGTTCTGCTGTACATAGGTTTGCTAGGCAGGAACCAACTTGATGGCATCTAACTACTAACTAATGGGTTTGGGCCTTCTTTCTCTTGGTACTGTTTCCAGGTACCCAGCCGAGTCAGGTTGACTCCAATTCATGTATGTCCGTCAATTCCATGTGTGCCCGTGTAGAATCCTATTCTATAGCATTTGGTGCGAACAGCTGACATATTCGGTTACTAACCAGAAGGCGGGAGGCTCAAGTCCCCTCAGAGTCCGACCACTGAAAAGAAAGGCCTGAAGATCTACTTCTGAAAAATCAGACTCTACTACTTTTTGCAAATTGCTTCTAGCCCTCGAGCAAACGTCTTCTTAACATCAGTTTCTCCTCAGCGAAGATGTCAGAAGGGCTTTCTATAAGATGCCAGCCCGCCGATGGATTCTACCATCGTGAAAAATGTCCAAGAAGCAGATGGACTGAATAGCACAGTGGGAAAGATGTAAATTCTGAAGTCCCATAGGTCTGAGTTCAAATTCTATCTTTGCCTCTTTGTAGCTTCAAACTCACCAGATGCCCTTCAAAAACAGGTTTGCTATGAGTCGAAAATGACTTAACAACAGCAAAAGCCTGACCTGGCAAGTCCCTAAACCTTTGAGTCTTGATTGTTCTCATTTGTAAGGTCGGGACCATGCTACTTTCACAGGGCGGTGGTGAGGATTAAATGAGGCTTCATGGTCCCAGCTTAGACTAAGTGCTTAATCAGTCCATTATCTATTATTAACATTTTTAGCAGGTCAAATGGGAACAAAACTGATTCATGAAATCCCTGTTCTCATACCTACTACAGTGGGCTACCACTCTTTGGTCAGTTTGCTGTACTGTGGTGGTTCACATGTTGCTTTGGTGTTGACCCCAATGAGATGGATTGGCACAGTGGCAGCAGCAGTTGACACAGAACTGGGCAGTATTTTGTTCTGTTATGCGCAAGGTCACTATGAGTCAGTACCAATTCGACGGCGCCTAACAACAACAACAATAAATTATACTGGACACTATGCTACTAGCGCTTCAGTTCCTAGCAGGGTCCCTCAAGGTGCAACTTTCAGCAGTACCTCTAGAAGAAGAGATTCTAGGAAGAAAGGCCTGCAGAAATTAGCCAATGAAGACAGTATGGATCACAACTGAGCTCTGTCTCTCTCTCATGCTTCAGACATGTAGTCAGTAAAGATCGATCACAGGAGGAAGGCTTGATATTTGATGAAATCGAGGGTCAATGAGGGCAAGGGGACACTCAGTAAGATGGATTGGCACAATCACCAAAATGATGGACTTGAATATGCTGATGATGGTGTGGATGACGCAGAACCAGAAAACATTTTGTGTAGAAGTCAACTCAACAGTGCTGGCTATGTCTTCCTGTCTCCCTCTCTGTCTGTCTGCCTCTCTGTCTGTCTGCCTGACTATCTATTTGGAGTCCTGGTGTGACACTGTAGGATAAGCACTGGACTACTAACTGCAAGGCTGGTGGTTCAAACCCACTAGTCGCTCCTTAGAAACCCGATGTTATTGTTGTTATGTGCTGTGGAGTCGGTTCCGACTCATAGGGTTTCTGAGACTGTAAGTCTTTATGGGAGCAGAAAGCCTCATCTTTTTCCTGCGGAATAGCTGGTAGTTTTAAACTGCTGACATTGCGGCTCGCAGCCCGATTCGTAACCACTACGCTACCAGAGTTCCTTTAGAAACCCTATAAGGTCACACTATAACTTGACATTGACTTGATGACACTTATTAACAGCTGTCTATCTATCTGTCTGTCT